TCTCTAGACGTAATGAAAAAATATGCTATCGGTCGTGTACACCGGCGAGCCACTATAACTACACGCTTTACAGCTTCTCTGAACTGCGTCAATGTCAAAAGGAAGGGCGTTTTGCCACTCGTGGAAAGTACATGGTCCACCTAGCCTTTCTTGCATAGATGATTCCCGGTAAGAAAACGGCAGTTCAATTGTTACATTGAAAAGCCGGCACTGCGATTGCCTGTCAATGTTGTATAGCTACTTCTATCCCTGTTGAAGTCCCGTTCCTCACATTCCACGCCACAAGACAGTCCACCTGCTCAGGCCCTCATTTTAGTAAGATAATGACGACAGTGGATAGGAGCATGGAGGATGGAAACCCACGTCGGTTCTAGTATTGGAAGAGGCCCAGATGTTCCGCGGGTGTGCTCGCCTGCAGTCGCAAGACAGTGTCTCGTGCTGGCATTGCACGTACTTGTGTCTCAACACCACGACCAGACCGCACTGAGGCGGAGCGCCGTCTCCGCAAACCGGACTATTTTCAAAACTCCACGAGACATAGATGCCTCGAGAATAGAAAGCATTCGTGGCGTGACGTGCTTCGATTGGTTCCTTGACGGCACTTCTGTCAGCTCGAACTGACTTGTCACATTTTCGCTGGCTCCCTGCTTAACGCTACATACTAAATGGTCAACAGGTGCCTTCACATCAAGAATTCATACATTCCTGAAAGCATGCTGGATGAAATATGTTCGCTGTAGGCTTCCTGCAGATCCACACAGAATACAGTACTTGGCGAGACATGGTTGGCGGTCCAGACGACATCGGAAGGCGAAGTTGCAATCTAGATGCCAGGGTTCACTCCACGAGATTGAAGGAATTATGGAAACAAGAGTGGGTGCAAACATGGAGGGGACCGATTGATGAGCATAGGAGATACCAAGTCCTTGACCCAACAGTATCACCTAATGTCGTTGTCGGGGCAAGCACCTTGATCTGGATCACTCGTGCTTGCAGCTCATGGACAGGCTGAATTGCCAATTCCATCACTGTCTATGCACTGGTATGCACAAAAGAGTTTGGACCATGGTGTGTAAGCGCTAAGAAGAGGGCCACGGCGATGATTGATGGACATTTCACAGTGGATCTCTTTTCATATGGCACAACGCCTCCTTTAGTCTTGATCATAACCCTCTGCTATGCCAGGTTCTCTTGATGATGTTACTTATCGGCCATAGATGTATGCCGCAAACGATGCCAGTGCTGCAATTATTCGATCCTGGAGGCCATGAGTTCGCGCTGATGTGAAGAGCTAGTAGAGCTCTGACTATCTGACCGTGATATCTCATTGTCGTTGGATCAAAGAGGCGAGAACTCTCGATTATTAGGTAAGTACACAGTTGCCCTCGGCAAAGTCATGGCATACGTCAGAGCGAGGGATTGAGCAAAGTGAAGAGGTCTTCCCCAGGCGATATCGGCAGTGAACTGTCAGGGAAGGGGTGAGAAAACATCAGGATTCTGGCCCTCCGCAGCTAGGGGGAGAGCTTATATTCGCTCTTTTGGGGCCTCAGTCTCTTGAAACAATACTCTGGGCCCCCCGGTTGCTTGGATCAGCAGGTGCCTCCCGATAACATGACTATCAGTGGCCTGCTCAGCACGGGCAGCCCTGTTCTCCAAAGGTCAGGCTCAGCAAGTAGCCTTCAAAAGGCGAGACGTGCTGCAATCTTCCCTCGGTCTCATGCACAGAAGTCGCTCAAGTTGGTCGGTATGTTGGCACTCCATGCTGTGGTTTGGTTCGTTGGTGAACAGCTACACTGGAGATGCTGATCCAGCCGTAAGCGTTGCGTCATCTCTGGAGTTGACGGCACGGAGTAGATGAAACGTTGTTAATTCTTTCGCACCCGAGACACAGTCCATATGAAATGCTGGGCAATGTTTCTACTTTCAGCTGGGTTTTGCATTGGTGCAACGTGTGCTGGTGGTGGTTTGTGATGCTTTGAGGGGTTGTCTAGCAGACTCGAAACCCAGGCGAGCACGTCCTGGAATACTGCCAGGAAGGCGAAAGAGCTTGATCTTTGATCATGGATACCACTGGATGGATGTTCATCAGCAAGGCAAAAGTTGGTCAAAACGAGAACCAGAATATGAAGTAGAACTGAGTCTTCTAAACAAAGTAAACTCGAAATCCATTGCGATGATCAAACCACAGGTGTCCGTCTCGTGTCGGTGACGGACGGTCAATGCACCGACACAAGCCACGCGTCAGCCCCCCTCTGGGTGCGCCACACTCAAAAGGCCCAGCACCACCCACTCCATCATGTCCGTCATGAACCGTCATGTGTGCACGCGTGGCTCGAGGCTAGGCACGGGTCAGAGCGGGTTGGTAGAATCAACAAGGTCAGGTGTTTGATCTGGAAGAAGGCCACGCCTCCAGAACGCAGTGTTCGATCTGATCGCAGGTTTAAGTTGGAGCATAAAGCTATGCCATTGTCTGACCTCTCTGGACTCCCGTTGGCAGGCACATGTTCCCTTAGTGCAGACCAGCAACCGAAGAACTGATTGATGCATGCCAAACGGACAGCGATGCTATCATCTGCTTAGACCCTCATGTGACCTTGACGGGTGGCGTTCGTCGACGATGGGTCGTCTTGGGGGTGTCCCCCACTAGTCATGGCAATTGCACCAGAGCAGTGGTGGAACGCACCATGGCGGTGAAATGGGAAAGCTGACTCGGATGTACGGCTAAGCTCCGAGGGTTTCCTGGGGACCTACAAGTACATGTACCTACCTACCCGGAACGAGCGCGAGGGAGAAGCTTGTCTGCCTGCGTGTTTGTCACTCGTGCGTTATCTGATAAGGAGGAACCCCCATCAAGGGACTCCATCATGCCAGAGAGGGAGCAGGGCGCGCGAGGTTCCCCGCACCGTCAGGGCGGAGCAGGCCAGCAGTACATAGTACCTCGCAGTGGCCTAGGTTTGAGGCCAAGGTAGAGGCAAGGTAGAGGCAAGGTAGAGGCAAGGTAGAGGCAAGGTAGAGGCAAGGTAGAGGCAAGCAGGATCGCTGCCTGCACTCAACAGAAAAGCAATCGTCATTGAGCTCATACAACGGCAGCCCGCGCTGTGCCGCGGCAGCTGGGGACTGAGGCATCCATGGTGGCCCGTGGAGGCCACCACAGCCGGAGCTCAAGCAGCTCAAGCTCTCTTGCCGCCTCACTGCATCCCCTCCCCCCATTCCGCGCCAGGCTGGAACCTTGGAAACGTGACCTGTTCCTGAGTACATGCATCGCCTAGGGAACCCGCCAGGTGGCCTTGATTGGCCGCTCCGCCTTGCGCTAAGCCGATCTTGGGGGTCAGTCAGTGGTGGGAAACTGGGGTCTGGTGTTGTTATCTGTGTGGAGAAGGGGCGTGGAGGTAGATATACAGTGTTATCGTGTGTTTCGGCGCTGGTTTCTGCAGCGCTGCAGAGTGCTGCTGCCCGCTATCAGAACGGTGCGTCGACCTTGATAGTACGGCCGAGTGTCAGCCACCCTGGTGCCTGGATGCGTCACACACTCCAAGCTGCGCACGCGCACGCAATGAACGGACGGCTGGCTGGCTTCGCCGCCTCCGGCGGTTTATCTAGCCAGAGCTCCCTCCTCCTCCTCTCAACCTCCTCCATCACTCCTCCATCTCCTCACCATCCATCCTCCTCCTCCCCCCCCATCCAGCTCCATCACCAATCAAGCCCTGTTCGTTGTGTCCTTTTGTTGTCGAGTTCCCCGTGTCGCAGGTAGACCAGCTCGATTTCTGCCCAGCATGAGAGTCATCGCCAGTGCCGTTGCCGTGGCGGCTGTTGTCAGCGCCACCCCCTCCTTCTCATCCGAGACCATCCACCGAGATGCCGCCCCCATCCTCTCGTCCTCCAACGCCGAGGCCATTCCCGACTCGTACATCGTCAAGTTCAAGGACCATGTGAGCGAGTCGTCCGCCTCGGACCACCACTCGTGGGTCCAGAAGATCCACGACTCCAAGGGCGCCGAGCGCCTTGAGCTGCGCAAGCGCGGCCAGGAGCCTCTTGTCGAGACGACCTTTGAGGGTCTCAAGCACACCTACACCCTCGGTGGCTTCCTCGGCTACTCTGGCCACTTTGACGAGGCCACCATTGAGGAGGTCCGCAAGCACGCCGACGTATGTTGCCCCCCCTCCCCCCCGCAAGTCTCTCATCAAAGTTCAGCTGCTGACCATGATCCCCCTCAGGTCGAGTTTGTCGAGAAGGACTCGATTGTCCACACCATGGTCCCCGTCCAGACGGAGGCCCAGACCGAGGACAAGTGCGACGGCGAGGTCGAGAAGTCGGCCCCCTGGGGTCTCGCTCGTGTCTCGCACCGTGAGAGCCTGAACTTTGGTAACTATAACAAGTACCTGTTCGCCGACAACGCTGGCGAGGGTGTCGATGCCTACATCATCGACACCGGCACCAACGTCGACCACGTCGACTTTGAGGGCCGCGCCAAGTGGGGCAAGACCATCCCTCAGGGTGACGAGGATGTCGACGGCAACGGCCACGGCACGCACTGCTCGGGTACCGTCGCTGGTTCCAAGTATGGTGTGGCCAAGAAGGCCCACGTCTACGCCGTCAAGGTCCTCCGCTCCAACGGCTCCGGCACCATGTCCGACGTCGTCAAGGGCGTCGAGTGGGCTGCCCAGTCTCACCTCGAGCAGGTGAAGAAGGCCAAGGACGGTAAGCGCAAGGGCTTCAAGGGCTCTGTCGCCAACATGTCTCTCGGTGGTGGCAAGACCACTGCCCTCGACCGCGTCGTTGATGCCGCCGTCGAGGCCGGCATTCACTTCGCCGTCGCCGCCGGCAACGACAACGCTGATGCTTGCAACTACTCGCCCGCTGCCGCCGCCCAGGCCGTTACTGTCGGTGCCACCGAGCTCGGCGACGCCCGCTCGTACTTCTCCAACTACGGCAAGTGCACTGACATCTTCGCCCCTGGCACCAACATTCTGTCCACCTGGATCGGCTCCAAGTACGCCACCAACACCATCTCCGGCACCTCCATGGCCTCGCCTCACATCTGCGGCCTCCTCGCCTACTACCTGTCTCTCCAGCCTGCCACCGACTCGGAGTACTCTGTCGCGCCCATCACCCCCAAGAAGCTCAAGGCCAACCTGATCGCCGTCGGCACCATTGGCGCCCTCTCCGGCATCCCCAGCGACACCCCCAACATCCTCGCCTGGAACGGCGGTGGCTGCAACAACTACTCTGCTATTGTCGCCAAGGGCAGCTACACTGCCAAGGGTGCCGCCAAGAAGACTACCTTCAACTCTGTTGTCGAGGATGTCGAGGAGGTCATTCAGAAGGATTTCGAGGTCGTCGCCGACAAGGCCAAGAAGTTCTCCTCCAAGTTCCACAAGATTGAGGAGGAGCTCAAGGAGCTTCTCGACGAGGTCTCCCTGTAAAGGGGCCGCCTCGGCGCGATCGTCTTTGTTGGACACGGAGCTTCGGCATTATATTTTTTCTTATCAGTCAGGAATACGGCATCATCATTGGGTTTTTTAGCATTCCGCTAGGAAGGATTGGTGTTTTGTTGTACAGCTAGGGCTACAGTAGCACGGAACGGATTTCTTTAGTCAATCATAACACTATTCATTTGATCACTGAACGTGAACGTGCTGCTTCCTGTCTCGTAGTGACAAGACGGTCCTGTAGTGGCATTATGTAATGAGCTGCAGAGGGTTAAATCGTGGAAGGCGGAAGATGTTCGAGAATGTCATGACGTTACGTAAGGTTAACTTGTAGGAGGGTAGAATCGTATACAATGGAAGATATCATGAATGTCATGACTCTGGGTCGCGTCCGCTTCCCGGGTCTTCCGACAAGCGTGTCGGCTTGTCTACGACGCTTGGTGTAGGTGTATGGCTGGCCTTGGCAGTTGAGTCATCGTCGGCTTTCGCAGTAGCGTCTCGCGGTTTCGACTCGTCTACGCCTGTCGTCTCCTTGACGGCAGTCGTGTCGATCGTCTCCAGCAGAGTGGGTTTTGCTGCCTCCTCGCTGGTCTTCCCCTCGTTTTTCTCGTCTTGGTCCTCAGGCAAAGTCGCCTCGGCAACCCCCTCCTCCCCGCCATCATCAGCATCCAGCCGCAGTGG